TTTTAGCAAATGTGGATTGCTTTTTGGTCTTCCATGAAACAGAAAAAAGAGCAAGGAAAGCAAAACAACCAGTCAAGAAAAGTCGGGATATTGGACAACTAACCTAATCAGAATTACACCATCCTTCCAATTGTAGAGCATTATCATATCGCAACAATATACCCTTACTTGGACTCTTGTTCATATATCTCACAATCTACAAGGTTGCATCCCAATAATAAACCTTTCAGACTCTGCATTAATTAGGATAAAATATGGATAGAATAGGCCAAATCCGTCCTAGTGACAGACAAATAGATCAAATTTCCTATGAGACGTCTATGTCTCTCCATATCATGAAAAAATTCACCATCCGCCAGAGCCAGCCTATGGTTTTGCTCCATGGGAAAATTTACGAGTTTTGCATCAAGCATCCGTGTTTCTATAATAATATCCAAGGCATACATTCTCTAACACATAAAAATTCCCTTCTTATTTTGGGCTATCTTTAGCCCCAAACAATATTTTAGAACTCCCAAGTCTTTCATCTTTAAACAGTTCCCTAAATATGCTTTAAATGACAACATGACAGAGTTATCATACCCTGCAATAATTTAATCATCAACATAGACTAGCACAATAAAGTGCATTTCCCCTCTCGTTAGAGTAAAAAGGAAATAATCATAATTTTATTGTTTAAAGCCATAATTTTTTAAATCCGTTGTCAATTTTGTAAACCAACAACGAGGAGCTTGCTTCAAGCCATACAATGACTTTTTCATCCTGCACACTTTCCCAGATTTATTTTTGTCAAAACCAGGGGGAATTTTCGTGTATACCTCTTCCTCCAAGTCACCATGAAAAAAGGTATTGTGGACAACTATTTGATGAACGCCCCAATTCTTCAAAGCTACAACTGCAAGAAAAGTTCAAATTGTCACCATCTTTGCCACGGTAGAAAATTTTTCATTATAGTCTAGTCCTTCAACCTGAGGATGGCCAACGATGACTAGTCTTGCTTTTAATCTCTGTAAATTTCCATGCTCATCATACTTCTCTTTGTACACCCATTTGCTTCCAAGTACATTTTTGCCATGTGATAAATAAGCAAGCACCCACCCGCCCTGCTCTTCAAGTGCCTAAATTTCATCTTCCATTGCCTTTCTCCACCCTTCATATTTCATATCCTCTTTTAAAATTTCTGACTCATTTCCACCTGTAATTGTTGCATTGTATGTTCAATGTTCCGTAGAAAACCGATGAGAATAAACAAAATGTGGTATACGATAAACAGTACATGAGGAAGCCTGCACGACTGAACTCTGAGATGTGGATGTACTTTTATGTCGTATGGTGTGAGTCACAAATTCACAAAACTTAACCGAAGGGAACTTAGTCCTATTCCCTTTTTCCAAGTCATCATCATGCATCGCCCCTTAGGGTTGTTTTGTCTCGGAGTGCAGCATTTGTTGTTGTTCTGTCACGGTGTGTAGCTGCCGCTACTGTTCTGCCTCTTTATGCAGCTGTCGCTGGTGTTCTGCCTCACCTCTTGCACTAGCGCCCGATGAAAATTCATCGGGCTCACCAAACGTTGAGCAAGAGGGAATCATTGGGCTGCCAGCACCCGTAGGCCCCCCTTCATCGTGGTGGTCAACTGTACTGTTGGTAGGCTGCTCACTGCCATCATTTTTCTCCCTCATATCACTTTGAGCCTATTGCTCCAACCCACATAAATCATCACTAAAATATTCTTTAATCACACGGACAACCTGGAGCTTAGGTGAGGTGTCAATTTCGGTTTGAATATAAGGAAAATCACTATCTTAAAATTGCACATGTTGTGAAATAATTATTTGCTTTGTCTCCTAATCGTAGACTCTTCACCCTTTCTTCCCAAGTGGATAGCCTAAGAAGACACATTTTCTACTCCGACTAGCAAATTTGTCACCTTTACTCTTCTGATTATGGGCGTAGCACAAGCAACCAAAAATCGAATGTACTCATATGAGGGTAGTTTATTAAATAAAACCTAGATAGGTGTTATAGTCATACAATCTTGAGGGTGTTCTATTAATTAAATGACAAGTCCCTTGAACACACTGCCCCCAAAACTTCAAAGGCATATTTTCTTGGAACAGCAATGCCTTACCCACATTCAATAGATGTTGATGTTTTCTCTCAACCCGCCCATTTGTTGAGGTGTCCGAACACTTTATGTCTGAAAAATAATCCATTAGCAAAAAATAATTTTTCAAGGAATTGAACTCTGTGTCGTTGTCACTATGAACTATTTATATTACTTGATTAAACTGTCATCTGACCATAGCAACAAAACTAAGAAACATAAACTCAACTTCATTTTAATTACTCATCAAATAGGTCCACACACTACGAGAAAAATCATCTATAATAGTAAAAAATTAGTGAGCTCCACAAGACGATGGTGTCTTGTGGGCTCCCACAAATCCAAATGAACTAGCTCAAAACTACGACTAGCTTTATTGTTGCTAATTGGGAGACTACTTCTATATTTTTTTTCCCGAGGGCATACATCACAGGGTTTATTTTTAATGCTTCTACTAGAAAAACTCACAATGGGAAGAGAATATAGTACTTTTTCCGAAGGATACCCCAATCGTTGATGCCATAACTCCAAGGAACCACCTCAATTCACAGTTAATGCCTTCACTTTAGGAACATCACGAATATAGTAAAGTCACAACGATTGTTAGTGAATTGTAAGGAACAGTTGGATTCACCACTTAATAGAGTAACCGAAATCAAGTTGCAATTTAATTGCGACACAAAAAGGAGATTTTTAATCATTAATCCCCTTTTTAAGATCAATGTGCCAATTTGGGAGGCATTGGCATATTTTTCGTCTGGTAACCCTACTGGTAAATTGGTCATATTCGTCACATTGGTCAAAAGAGATAAATTGCAGGTTACATGGTTCGATTCTCCTGTGTTAATTGTCCATGTTGAACTATTCTTACCAGTAAGCTTGGATTTTAATGAGTTTGGATAATCTAGTAGCTTTTGAACCTGCTCCGACGACACCCCTACAAGAGCAGCATCATCGATAGTAGTCGCTGAGCCTTGAGTGGGCTTATTTGTGGACAAGGCAGTGGTCTTGTTTGCACGTACGTAATTCGAGCCACCCCTGCCACGAATTGTTGTGCCGCTTCTTGCTATCACAGAGCCGCCACGTCCAGCATCTCTGCAACCTCTCCCACGGTTATCCCACCACTCCGGATAACTTATAATATGGAAGCAATCACTTTCTTCGTGGCCTTCCCTATTGTGATGAGTGCACAATTTGTCCTTGGAGTCACGGTTTTGCTGCTTTGAAGAACCATCGTATTAAACTTTGAAAGCCACTGTATTATCAGGAGAAATTGAAGGATTTGGCCCACGCAACCTCTCAGCTTGGATAACTTGTTGATAGACACGATCAACTCTTGGTAGAGGCTCTAAGGCTAGAAGCTGCCTTCCAATTGAGGCATAAATATCATCTAAGCCAATTATAAAATGATGAACGTAATAATCTTCATGGATCTTCTCCACTTGAGCAAAAACATTGCATTTAGAAGACCCAAAAGAGCACATTAGGTCCACTTGAGCAACAATATTGCTAGAACTATAACATACGCGAGTAATTCATCCCAGACCTTGGACATATGACCAATTTAAACCGCCACAGATTCGCTCGAGCCCTGCTTGCAATCTCCCAAAGCTTTCTTCAATTGGCACACACGGGTACAACTGACTACACAAAAGCAATTCTTGAAGCTGTTCCCCAAGAGACGCGTATAATCATAATCTCCAATAGCAGACCGCGCAGTTGGATCTTAAGTATTTGACAACAAGGAGACCAACATAGAGTGTACGGCCACCCAATCTTCCAATTTCTACGAATTACTAGGTTTCACGACCGAACCATCAATGAAACCATACTTTCTCTTTGCCTTCATTGCGGTACGAACCCCTCTCACCCACTCGTCATAGTTCTCACCACACAATTGAATTGGGGTGATAACATTTCTGGGGCCAAGACGGTATGTCAAATCCACCTAAGTTTTGCCTCCATCACCGCCGGTCATATTTCACAAGAATTGTAAACCAAATTCACATAATTCCTCATAGAGTATACAAACTAAATGAACTAGATATCGTAAAAAAATAAAAAAAAATCGGATCCCAACTTAGCCTCTTGATACCAAGTTAAATCAATCACAAAGGCTAAATATATACACTGTATTTTTCATTCATGTTCAAGGTCACTGCACAAAACAAGTATAAATAACACTAGAGTTAACATTACCCTAATATTCTATGATATCTTTTCACAAGGTATTCTCCCTAAATATATCAAAAAATTATCACAATAATATCTAGAATAAAAGTATCCTAGAATATCACCAATAGAAAATTAGAATTATTAATCACTTGATTTTTCTCCAATAAACTTGGGAAAAAAATGCTTTAAAAAATGATATCTCACATTTGTTAAAAGACAGGAGCACGCCTGTTGGAGCAAATTAGAGAAGCAATAGACATATTCAACTAATTATTTGCCATGATGGCTGACCTTTTTAGTTTAAATGGACATTTGGGAGTTGTACTAAGTACGCATACATAAACGTGTAATGTTGTATAAGTCCCTTCACTAATGCTAATTTTACAAACTAATAAAATATGCAACCACAATTCGTCATCACGTTTTTATTAGAAAAATTCTTCTAGTTCATCTTATGATGTCTAATAAATAATCTTAAGTGTAATTATCCGTCTGAAACAATCAATCTACTCCTATACCTTGTTATTACGTCGTTGCTAGGTATCCCACCGGCCACAAACCGACCAATTATAGTTGACCAAGCCGTTCACTAATTCATTTAATTCTTCTTACCTTTTCAAAAAAAAAAAAAAAAAATTACATTCATTTACTAATTCATTTATACATATATCATTTGTATATGTTAATTCTGTCACAATGAGTTCGTTTTCCTGTCTAAAAAATGGAAATAAGCTCTCAACAAGAAGAAAAGTCCGTTAAATTCGACGATCAAGCATGGAGCGATTCAACTCCCAGCACAACCACAAGGGAACACGAGCAAGTTTCATTCAGTGATGAGTATTACGTTAGATCTTACACATGTAACTTCTGTAAGAAAGGGTTTTCTAATGCACAAGCACTTGGTGGACACATGAACATCCATCGAAGAGACCGAGCCAAGCTTCGACAGTCATCCATTACTGATAATTCGTCGTGTAATGACCGTGATTCTATGCAATCTGATACATCCATTACTAAAACGAGGAGTCAACTATACGAAAATAATGAAACAAAAGATGATATTGAGGTTGGGAAGAAGAAGGCGCTTGCCTTATTTGTTGATTCGTCGTTAGGCAAGCAAGGAAGCAGTAATTCAAGGGTTAGCAGGGATGATTCTGGTGTGGACCTTGAACTTCGACTAGGGCGATCAAGAATTGAAATATGATTTGTATTTATGACTTAATTAGGAGTCAAAGAGGTTAGTAATATCATCCAATGTAGCTCGTATTCACTACTTGTATATATGTACCGGCTGTGTGAAAATATATACTAAAGGCTGTAAATGTTTATAGTTACTTGTGTGTATGAATTAACTAATTTTTCTCATTCACCATTTTTGATGTAAAAGGGATAATTCGGATAACCAGGTTTGTAGCACAACTATGAAGTTAAAAAATTTTGGAAGTACAGATTGGACGAAATTAGAATTTTAGCGTTCTTTTCCGTATGCAACTTGAATTAGTGTAAGACTCCATTCACTTTACCTTATTTTCGCTGATTTGAAATTAATTTTAATAAATTAGTTTTTCAAATTTATTACTAACAAACATTAATTTTACTGATATCATATTATATTGATTCGTTATTGTTACTAATTTTTATTGAATGGAAATTAGGAAAAAAATAAACTAATAATCCTACATTAGGTTCATCTTTTCAAAATAATCGCACCTTAATACAACTTGGAAATAATCCCACCTTAATATCCCGTATTCTAAAAACAAGCCTTTTACCGATTTGTGTATTAATTAGTAACCTAATTCAGAAGGTTATATGACATGTGTCACCTTCTAAATGAGTATTTTTTTTATTTATATACAAATCTTATATATATATATATATATATATATATATATATATATATATATATATATATATATATATATATATATATATATATATATATAAAGGGGAGTTTTTTTGCCTAGTTTTTAAAGAGCCACGTAGGATTAAATTATTTCAGCACACATGTAGGATAATAAATTTTAATGCTAGCCAATTAAATAAGAGATTATTACTTTCTCTTAGAATTAAATAATTTAAATGACACGTAAGTAAAATTGACGAATGACATTTCCCACTTTAAATTAATTAAATATAAAATATTATATTTTGATATTAGGAATTTCATCTAAATATATAACAAATTTTAGCATATAAATATACATAGAAAAAAATTATGTTAAAAAATTCAAACAAACTGTGTATCGCACGGGCTTCATCAAGTTTTTTTAAATAAAGAAAATGATCAGCAAAAATAATGTAATAATCCTTCTTCTTCCTTCCCCTGCTAGAGTAAACCCCTCGTCAGGGCAGCCGCCCACTACAAGAAAAATCTCTTTTCGTAGCGATTATTTCGTAGCGATTGTACATTCGCTACAATATGCAAGTATGTTTGTGAAATAATTAAGGATGTCGTATCATTTTTACAATCACCATGGTTTTCGTATATAAAATCGATACGGAAAACATAATAATACATCTCCACACTATTTTTACACATTTATATAATTTTGAGAAAGCTTATCATTTACAATCGCCACTAAATCTAAAAATCAATACAAAAAGCCTTTTCAACACTAGATATATAAATATTATTTGACAAAAAATACATAAAATATGTCATAGCTTATTGGTGAAACATTTAATATAAGACTTTGAGGTTGCATGTTTGAATCTTGTAAAGATCATACGCATGTTTTTTTTTTTGTAAGAAAATGAGTTAAACATTTCTAGCGATTGTAATCGCTACAATAATCACCACGATTGGATGTAGTTTTTCGTATCGATTATTGAGGCCAACCTCAGCGATATTGAAAACCACTACTAAAGGCTAAGGCAATGCGGGATATTGTATCGAATGACCATTCGTTGGGAAAGCTTTTTGTTGCAATTACAATCGATACTAAAGATTAAAATAATTGCTACGAAAAGGTTATTTTCTTGTAGTGGCCCGCTGACAAGCTAGATCCAACCATTTGCCGGAACAGCTGGACCCAACCACTTGCCTGACCCAAATGGACCCAGCCATCGTCTTCCTCGATTCCTTCCCTGATTCTAACAACAATATCATCACCGTCGCTGCCACTCTTTCGTAACAATCATTAAAATTGTAACACTGTTAACATCGACTCATGAAACTGCTTAGCATCGTCAATAACATCAACCACTACCGTCGACACCGCCATTAAGAACATTTTGCTTAAGCTTTGACCCATGGTAATACCATATGCCTATCTCTGCTATTAAAGCTATATATGCTGTCATTAGATTTCTTTCAATGGCGTACGAAATCGCTATTGATGAATAAATTTGATTTTGAGGAGAGAGAAAAAGAGGGAGTAGAATTTTAGAGGAGTGAATGGGAGTTATCAATGTGAGGGATTTATTTTTTAATAAAAAATTTAATTAATTGGGATAATTGGAATATATTTGAATAATAATAGGGTGGTGGGGTGGAGTTATCTTGGCTGTAAAGGGAGTTACATTTCGTTCATATGCCTCAGACCTAACGTAGGTGTATACGATCACAAGATATCCATGCCGCATTTTGCAAATGGTACTGGGCTATGAAATATTGTCAAATCATTTGCTAGATGTTGTGTTTGTGTGTTTTCCAAATCGCAGACACTTGTCACACTTTTCAACCATTTTCATAGCGTCTGCTTGCATCGGCCAAAAATAGCCTTGCCAAGCTGCAAAAGGGAAAAAGATACAACTTACAAAAGCTAAGTGTTAACTAAGACCAAACACCAAAAATAGGCAACATAACCTCAAAACAGTTCCAAATTCTACCCTAGCCACCTTCTAGGAAGAACCAAGAACAACAACTGAACTCAAGTTTCCAACCACCTTCTAGGAAGGTTTCTAGAAACTAGGACCAGACAAATAAAAGGGACACAAAGCAGCAGAACAGACAGACTTGTAACTTCAAAAGCAAACCTGGACTCATAGCTGGCAAAACAAGCCAAACTTAGGACCAAAACATCACAAATGCAACAGTTTCCTATCAACATCGTTACACCTTACAACAACCTTATACACAACAACCCTAAAAACCAAATCAGCAGGCTGACATTTACTAGTGAACATCAAGCTATTTCTTTGAATCCATATGCTATGAATAGCCTCAGTAAAACACATCATATAAATCCACAGCCACCAAGATGTAGCGCTTTCCACCTGGAGCAGGCGTGTAAGGTCCTAGAATGTCCATGCCCCATTTTGCAAACGGGATAGGGTTGTGGATAGCCGTCAGATTAGTAGCCGGACGGTGAATAAGTCTGCCAAATTTTTGGCACTTGTCACACTTCTTTACCAACTCCCTAGCGTCTGCCTCATGGGTAGGCCAAAAATAATGTCGTCTGTCTCTGACGGCTAGGGACCTGCCGCCTATGTGGGAGGTGCAGAATCCCGAGTGCAGGTCTTCGAGTACTTCCTTCCCCTTTTCAGGGGTGACACACTTCAACAAGGGCCTCGAAAAACCCTGCCTTGAAGAGTTCTCCATTTTTCAACTCGAAGCTTGTGGCTCGCTTCTTCAGGACGGATGCCTCCTGTGGAGAATCAGGAAGCGTACTGTCTAAGAGGTAAGCCCGGATGCCATCAATCCAGGTAGAGCTTCGGTCTAGAATTCTAATGAGATCTTCATAAATGCTTCTCTTTTCAAGAACTTCCCAAAAGACTGACCGAGGCGTATCATGGCAGGAGGACGCCAGTTTTGACAATGCATCCGCCTGGTTGTTTTCTGACCTAGGCACTTGATTCAGCCGGAATTCCTCAAGTGCTCCGGCCTCTTCTTTGACTACCTGAAGATATTTGATCATAGCCGGATGAGTTGCCTCATAGGTTCCCTCATACTGGCTGACGACCAATTGAGAGTCAGAATAGGCGTCAATTTTAGTTGCCCCTGCTGCCTTACACATACGGATTCCGGCTAGCAGGGCTTCATACTCCGCCTCGTTATTTGAGGCTTGAAACTTAAACTGCAGTGCATATTCAAATTTGTCCCCCTCAGGGGACTCATATATAATTCCTGCACCGCAGCCGTTCTTCGTCGAACTTCCGTCTACATACATTTTCCAAACCTGGTCAATATTATCAGGTTGCACCGGTCGTGTCATTTCAACAATGAAGTCGGCAAACGCCTGACCTTTCACTGCCATTCTAGGTTTGAAAGAGATTTCAAGACTTTGCATTTCAATAGCCCATTTCAACATTCTGTCGGATGACTCCAAAGTAGACATTGGCCGCTTGAGGGGATGGTCGGTGTAGATTACCACCGGATGAGCCAAGAAATAAGGTTTTAATTTCTTGAAAGCCATATACAGGGCAAGGCCAAATTTTTCTACCATGGAGTACCGGAGCTCAGCATTTTTTAGGACATGGCTAATGAAATAGATCGAAAGCTGAACACCGTCTCACTCACCAAGGAGAACGGCGCTGAGGGCATGATCTAGGACGGCTAGGTACATGTATAACACCTCTCTAGGCAATGGGCTAACAAACCTTGGCAAAGAGTGCAAGTGTTCTTTCAGCCGTTGAAAAGCCGTCTCAGCATCATCCTCCCACTCAAATCTGGTCTTCTTCCTGATTGCTTGGAAGAAATAAAGGCATTTGTCACCTGATCGGATGAGGAATCTCCATAAGGCAGCCAGGCAACCGGTTAGTCTCTGTGCTTCCTTGAAAGTGCGGGGTGACTTCATGTAAATCACCGCCTGGATCTTCTCAGGTTTAGCCTCTATCCCCCTTTGATCAATCAGAATTCCGAGAAACTTCCCAGACTCAACACCAAAGACGCATTTCTTAGGATTCAACATAACCTTATGCCGCCTGAGTGTGGTGAAGGTTTCTCGGAGATCAGCAAGGTGATCCGCCTGCTGTTTGGATTTGACTATCATGTCGCATTTTTCAAGCCAAACGACATCACCGTGTAACAGAATAGCCCTTGATCAATGACGAAGGCCGTCTTTTCTTGATCTTTTTTCCACAAGGGTATCTGATGGAAGCCGGAGTAGGCATCCATAAAACTCATCAAGGCATGCCCGGTTGTTGAATCGACTAGACTGTCGATCTTAAGAAGCGGATAACTGTACTTGGGACATGCCTTGTTGAGATCTGTGTAATCAACACACATCCGCCAGGTATCATTCGGCTTCTTTACAAGCACAACATTCGCCACCCACTCAGGGAAATTACATGGCCGAATGAACCCAACATCCAACAGCTTTTTTACTTCGGCAGCTGCCGCCTGACTTCTTTCCTCGCCTTGATTTCTTTTCTTTTGCCGGATGGGCTTCTTTTTAGGATCCACGGCGAGTTTGTGGACAGCAAGATCCGGGCTGACGCCTAGCATCTCTTCCACTTCAAAGGCAAAAATGTCTTTGAAGTCTTTTAGCAGCCGGTGCAAGTTTGCACCCAACTTTGCAAAAGCAACCGTCCCAACCTTCACAGTACGCTCCGAACGGCTGTCGTCCAGAGGTATATCAATATGTTCACCAGCCGGTTGGGGACGAAGCTCATCTGACCGTTCACCGGTCAGTGATTGCTATTTTTTCTCTTTCTTCACCTCCACTAGCAAAGGTGCTTTTCTTTTCTTCCCGACTGCTGGTGGGGCAGGCGCTGGGTCGGCCTCCTTGACATTGTCAAGGTCTATTGGTTCCTGGCCGCCTGGGGCCACAGTGTCTTTGACGGGTGACAGATAGCACTCTCGGGCCGTCTTCTGATCCCCATTCAGGGAACCAACAGTGCCGTCATCCCTCTCATACTTGATGAGCATGAGAGACGGGATGATTACTGCCTTGGCTACGTTGAGGGATGGCCGGCCAAGGATAATGTTGTAGGCGGTTAACTCCTCAACAACCAAGAATCTGACAACAATATGTCGTCCTTGGCCCTTCTCTCCCAGCCGGATGGGTAAGTTAATTCTTCCGGCTGGGTAGACCATCCCACCTCCAAAACCAACCAAGGGGTGGTGACCGGATGCATGCTGCTGACATTGTATTTCAGCTTTTGCAAGCATCGGAGGCTGATGATGTCTGATGAGGTGCCGGTGTCAATAAGGATTCTTCCAACCAGCTGGTTGGCAACCTTACATTCAATGATAACCAGGTCATCATGCGGACGGCGGACGCTGCCCCTGTCCTTCTCAGTGATCAAGACGTCTGGGAAGGAGGTGCTTGCAGATGCCCGTTCATCATCATCCTTGTCCATCTTTTGAAGATGGCTCTTGGTGCCCCGGATGGTAGGGCCACCAAAGGAGAACCCGCCTGCTATGGTGTAGACCAGCTCCTTGTCGGTATCCAAGCTACTAGCAGGCTGGGGGGTAGTCTTGGAGGACTGACCCTTATTCTTCTTCTTTGCCCCGGCTAGGGGACATGGAAATGTAGGACTTCAGCATTCCCTTGTCAGCCAGACGGTCCAACGCCCGTTGAAGGATGAAGCAGTCGTTGGTGTCATGGCCAACTTCCTCATGGTTTTGGCAAAAATTATTTTTGTTCCTTGATTGAATGGAACATTTCATTGGATTCGGCTTCTCTAGGGACAGCCGGTCCTTAATTTCCATGAGGGTGGAATTGCAGTCCTTGTTAAACTCGTACTTGGGGACGTACGGTTTAAACTCTTTCTTCTTCTTCTGGGACGGCTGGTCAGAATCACTAACTGCCCATATTTCTTTTCTCTTCTTCCTATCTTCTTTCTTTTTGGCCGGCTGGGCAGGCCGGCTGTCTTTCTGCTTGTCGGACTTCTTGGAGTCCGACTGGTTACCAGGCGAGTAGAGGTCAGTAGCTTGAATGTAGCTTTCCGCCACCCTCAGAGCCGCCTGTAAGGTGAAAGCCCCTTTTCTGACTAGGTCGAACTTAAAAGTCGACCCGTCTCTCAGACCTTTGAAAAATTCTGTAAAAGCTACCTCATTAGACAACCCTTGAATCTGAATTCTAATCAGATTGAACCGCCTGACATAGGAGCGCAGCCCTTCTCTTTCCCCCTGCTTAATGGTGCTCAAGTCCAAGCTTGTTTTCTTGGCAGGGATGTTCATCGAGAAGTTAGAAGCAAATAGGAAGGCAAGCTTCCTTAAGCTATCGATGCACCCGGCAGGCAGATTATCAAACCATTGTTGGGCGATGCCCTTCAATGTAGCCGGGAAGCAACGACACCAAGTGGCATCATCCAACCCCTGCAGATACATGAGGTTGGTATAAGCCATGAGGTGGTCTTCCAGATTGGTGGTACCATCATAGGTACCAACCAACACATTCTTAACCTTGGCCGGCTGGCCCGCCTCGGTTATCTCCCGAGTGAATGAGGAAGGTTGTTCACCCAGGCGGAGCAGACGGAGCTGCCAGTCCAGTGGCTGGACATTTGGATATGTCACCTGACCTCCAAAGAGAGTCGGCTGCATGAAGTGAGGGGAATACTGTCCGTAAACTTGAGTAGGCACGTGCAGTCAGCTCCAATCATATGAGGGCCAGAATGGACGGTATTACCGCCTGTCTGGCTCTCATGCAAGGAGGATGCATTCCTTGCAGAAATGTTATTGAAGTTGTCTGGAAAGTTTGACGTTGAAGCCGACTCAGACAGCGACTGGTTTATCTTCGGTTGATGATCTTCCGGGCATAAAGAGATGATTTTTTACTTCCCACCGGTTGTTGAGTCCGGCAGGTTTTATTGGTATTTCTCTTAGGAAGAAGAATCTTGGACCAATCAATGGTCCCGACTGCCTTCTCCTTTGGATGAGGAGTTGGCTGCCGATCTTTGACTGATTTCCCCCTGCCAAGAGGAACCTTCTTGGCCGACTGACCTCTGCTCGGGCCAGCGCAGCTCTTGGTGATCAGCTCTCTAATTTCACCCTTGAAACTTGTCATGAACCTCATGAGTTCGTCTCGGGTGACAGGTGTTGATCCTGTGGCCGTATGGTTTTCCCTTTCCGGCTGCCCACGAGGTCGACTTGCACCCGCCTGGGAGGCACTCCGCTCCAGAGTCTCTGTGGGCCGGATGCGCTTGATTCTGAGAGATCCGTCATCGGCTGTACAGTTCTCGACCTAGGGATCTTCATCCTCCTAGTCTATAAAGACTTTTGGGTCATCACCTAAACGGTTAGGGGGTGATACAGACTCTTGAACCATCTTCGAGGTACTCTCCCCACAGACGGCGCCAAGTGTTTTGGGTGTTTTTGTCCCTTGGGAGAGTTACAACACGAAGACTGATCCGGTGGGAGCTGTACTTGCAAAACAAACGGAGACACCGGTTGGGTGGTGTTCCGCCTCCGACGCACAAGTTAGAAACTTGAATAGAGAGAATAAAGTGCGGAAATTTAGGTGGGTATCTGCTCGGATTCCAAGCTCAGGTCTTTCTCTGATGTAAGAGAATACAGGTGTAATAAATGATTCAATTTGTCCTCAAAATGGGGAAATATCCCACTATTTATATGGTCATTGGAAATTGCGCCCTTATCTAGGTCATTTGACCTAGATTGTGGTGGGCTGCGCCGAATTACGGCATTCTCTTGGGATTTGAGCCCATGAGGGCCGCCATTACATAATCTATCTGAAGAGGCCATGTGTCGAATGGCTAGGGGGCCACTTGGGTCAGACTGATCTGGACACGTGGCCTTCTCTTATTGGAACACCTGTCTAGGGTAATTTTTACCCTAAACAGTGCTGGTCCTCCTTTTTTACCATCACAAGAAGTTGACCCTAAGAATCCGATGTGTGCTATCACCACTAGGAGTGGTAAGGTCCTTAAAGAGAGTGTTCCTAGGAAAAGTAAGGAGGGTGAAAAGAAGAGTGATTTGAGTGAAGGGAATAAGCATGAAGAGTCTAGCAAGATGAGTGAGAGTTCCAATGATTAGCCTAAGGAGAAAGAGATGAAGCAATATGAGGTTTACAAACCTAGACTTCCTTACCCCTAAAGTTCAATAGGCACAAATTGGATGAGAAATTTGGACAATTCATCGAGATGCTTAAGAAGATTCATCTTAATATTCCTTTCACCGAGGTCTTGGGACAAATGCCAAACTATGCTAAGTTTCTTAAGGAAATTTTGAGCGGTAAAAGAGGTTGCAATATGGTGGAACCGGTAAATTATGGGGAGTGTTGTAGCACCTTTATTCATAATGACTTACCCCAAAAGTTGAAAGATCCCGAAAATTTTTTCGTACCTTGCAAAATCAAAGGAAAATTGTTCCAAAATGCCCGTTGTGATCTTGGTGCTAGTGTTAGCATCATGCCTTATTTTTGATTTCAAGAAACTTAAGCTAGGTAAGCTCCTTCCATCCAACATGACCCTTCAATTGGCCAATCAGTCTATTAAGTTTCCAAAGGGGAGAGTTGAGGATGTTCCCCTCAAGATAGGAGAGTTTACCATTTCCGTTGATTTTATTGTGCTTGAGATTGCGGAAGATGACCATATCCCTATCATTTTAGGAAGACCTTTCTTAACCACTTCGGGAGCCTTAATAGATGTCAAAGGAGGTCGTATTACCTTGAGAGTTGGTAAGAATGAGGAAAGTTTTGAGCTAAAACCAATGCATGACTCTTTGTCTCTTGTGAAAGGAATTATGTGTGTTAATTCCCCTCGCCCTATTGATAATGTATGCATGATTGATTCTTCAACTAACAATGTTCTAGAGAATTGTGATGATGTGCTTTTGAGGTGTGATTGCAAGAAGGTTAGTGAAGAGAAAACGAAGCTTCCTAAGCATATGGACGAGGAGGTAATTGACATTCCTCATGGGTTTGAGCTCAACCCTCAAGAGGAGGAAGATGACCCTAAGAGTGTGGATGGTTAGAAACCATCTACAAAAAGGAACAAGGCAAAGAAAAGAGCACGAGCTTCTAGGAAAAAGAGAAAGAAAATGAGATTATGGAAAGAGAAGCTTGCTTTTGAGAAGTTATTGAATGAAGTCTCATCAAGCAACAATGAGAAGTTGCTAAAATTTGAAGAGGAATATGCTCCTTCAGCCACTTTGAAGAAGGTGGTGTTATTTGACCGTCCATGATTTCGAGGAAGGGTCGAGCTTAGGACCATAAGCAAGCGCTTCCCCGGAGGAAACCCGGAGATTTCTAACCCTTTTCTTTCAATTTTCACTTTTCTTTATTTTCTTTCTTTTAGTTTATTTTCTTTCTTTCACTTGTTTTTCTTTTGGATTTATAGGTTGGATTCTTGGAGTTGGATTTCATCAAGTGAGCACGATCTATGGGAAGGTGCTTGCGGCTTTTGATGTGATTGAGCTTATTTTTCTTTCCTTGTTCTCACATGGCTTTATGATGATGCTTATGATTTTGGAGCGCAGCAAAGGTGGTTCTTTCTATCGCCTTTCTTTAATTTATTAGCTAAGCATGGATAGACCGGTGAGACCTTTCTAATTTTTCTCTTTATTTTCTTTGGATGCATAGATAAGGTTTAGTTTAGGGGAAGTTGAACGGTTCGAGGATGATTGCTTGTTAACACTTAATGTGTTTGGGATCGATGAAGATGTTGTCATTTGATCAATTGTATGTCGATTTGGTTTAATGTGTTTAACTTGATTTCTAGTTCCTTTCTCCCTTTTCCTATTCTTCCTTTATCTATGGCTTTCCTTTTCTTTTCTTTTCCTTTTATTTTTCTTTTCCCTTATTTTTCCTTTGTTCTTGTCTTGGTATGTGGTATGCTTTTGAGGCTTGTTTTTCAACCTTTTTTTCTTATGAATTGGACTTTGTACATTGGACTTTGTCTTTTGAAGGAATTTCTTCCTAGGTAGTAAAGGTATGAACGGTTTGAGAGTATGCTTGGTTGACTGTAGGATAGGTTTAAGCTAGGGTAGTTGGTTTGAACTAGGAGGACCATGAAGCCGGATTCTACTTGTTTGTGGCATGCTTGGTAGTTGCTCCCTATAGTAGATTTGACACCACTAGGGAGTTTTTGCTACATCCATGTGAGGTTCATTGTTTTTCAAGCCTTCAACCTATTTTGTATGAGCGGCGTGGATCCTTGAATATTGCGGACCTAATCTATAAAGCTTGATTTATGATTCTTCAACCCGAGACCGAGCTATCTAGGGAGGACAAAGGCATCTTTTCAGGGTGGTATTTTTCATTTTTAGTATAGTTTGTTTCATATTTGTTTTCGGGTTTACATTTGCCTTTTTGCAACCATTTGATCCTTATACATTCTTTTCAAGCCACATCATTAGATCTTTGGCCTTTTGTTTCATTTTCTTGGTTTTTGTGAAGCAATTGATCATACTTGATGGAGTTTGTGGTGGAGAAGTTGGAGTGTTTGGTTCTTATGAAAGCATGATTATGTTATATTTTCTTTGTGAATAATGGAAAATGAATAATAGAAAAAGCCGCCCATGTTAAAAAAAGGCAAGGAAAAATAAGTGAAAGTTGTAAAAAGCCATCCAAAGTTAAAAGAGGCGAGGATAGAGCACTATTAAGCAATAAAAAGGAAAAAAAATATGAAAAATGAAAAAATTCAAAAATATTTTGATGTGAGGATTCTCCCTTTTTGAGCATTGAGGACAATGCTCCATTTAACGTTCAGGGCACTACTACAAAAATTCTCAAAGAGACCTTAAGTTAGAGACCATTTAAATAAATATATGGTCTCTTGGACTCAAGAGACCATATATTTCAAATAAATAGTCTCTTACGTATAATCTTAGAGAGATAAAAATGTATCAAAGACCGTCTATTTTAAATAAGTGGTCTCTCCTTCCTTTTATTAAATAAATTAAAAAAGAGAGACCATTTATTTATGAGAAGTGGTCTCTCCTTTTTTTAATTAAATAAATAAATAAATGAGAGAGACCACCCATTTACAAAATATCGTCTCTCCTTTTTCTAATTACCATATTTTCATAAAAAATGGGTCAAGCCCAAACTATCTAATGACAAAATGAAACCCTAATAGTGTTTCTTAAATTACCTCAGCCGTCACTCACTATTTCATTTCCTCTTTCACTCAATTCTCTTTCTCTCTCCTCTCTCTTCTCTCTCTTATTTTCAATTTTTTCCATTAAATTTGCCGATAGAAGCTCGTGAATTTGATTATAATAAGGTAATTAGCTTGTTAAGGCTATTCTCTTCACTTAATTTTTATGTGTTTTTATGCGTTTTGTTTCTTCAATTTCTATAATTTACATGTTTTTACGGGTTTAGTTTCTTCAATTTTAGTAATTACTTATATTAATCTAATTAAAGTTCGTTTATGCTATAAGTTCATTGGTTTAAGCGATTTTTTCATCATCTAATTATCCGGTTTTATTTGATTTTATGAGTTCATTTGTTATTTCTTCATCATTTGTTTATGCGATTTACTTTGATTTTTTCATGAGTTCAATTTCGTAGTGTATTGGTTTAATTCAAAGTTTTCTGTAAGTGTGTGATAACTGTTGATGACTCCTGTATTTTGTTATGTTTATTTAGAATTTCTTTATGGATTTAATATAAATCTTACACTTTATTTTTGATTTTTTCATGATGATTTTGAAAATTATTATTAATTGTTTTTTTTTTCTGCTTGCAACATAATTAAATTTCTTTGTTAGTTAACCAATTGTGGTTGACTTCCCTTGATGATCTTCCAAGGGAGGACTTGGAAAATGGGTTTTAGCAATAGACGACGAAGTTTATTCGAACGAAGATGTTAAAGAAGCTTGCGATTTGATCTTCGAAATAATATTTTTTTTTTGTTTTTTCTTTCAATTTTTTTTGTTCAGACCGCTGACGACGCCACCAAGCATCGTCGGACGCTGGTCTTTTTCAGGTTCCTCTTTTTTATTTTTCTTTCAATTTTTTTATTCAGATCTAAAATTTCTGGTTTATTTTCTTTAATGTAATTTCTTGTTGAGTAGTTCGACTCGCGAGATTACTGCACAAGATCTACTAAGTATTAAGAAGGATTTTTTTTCTTTTCTAAATGAATTTGGATTATAGAATTAATGTGTATTTTTTTAGTATGGGGTTTGTATAATTTTTTGCAAGAATATTGGTTGTAGTATTTATATTATTAATGAGTATGTTGTATGAGTGTTGAGTAGTGTATAAAATTTTGCATATATGAATTACATGTATGTATTTTGCTGTAAATTATATAGGAATTGTATATAGTATTCGTTTAATTGAAATTATATATATTAAAAACGAATAATATTTTTTTTTCAAGAAAAAAAAGAGACCCTCTATTTGAAATAGGTGGTCTTAGTTTTTGAAAAGTTGAGACCATCTATCTGAAATAGGTGGTCTTATTTTTGAAAGAATTGAAACCATTTATTTGAAATAAGTGGTCTCTTGTTTTGGTCTCTTAGGTCAAAGAGACCTGTGAGCTAGAGACCACCCCTAAGGTAGTCTCTTTGGCCACTTTGATAAGGTCTCTTTGGCCAATTTTGTAGTAGTGGGGGAAGCATTCTTACGCTTTTTGTGTATATGTTTGTGATTTATAGCTTTGAATAAGCTTGGGGGTGTTGTTGTTTTTTTTGGTGATTACTTGGTTATGGTGTAAAGAAATGCGCAATCTTTGCTTCACAATTTAGGTAAACCGCCAAATTTTAAATTTTAGCCTACCGTCACCCTTTATGCCTTACGTTACAACCTTTGGGAAAGCCCTTTCGACCTAGAAGTTGAGTCACTATTCGGGGGAGGGAATCATGGGTCATTGCCTAAGGAAATTGGATGCATAGTCAAGATGTCGAGTAGCTTAAATAAATATCTTTTTTCCGGTTCCTTCGAGGAATCATTGGGATGCTCACTAAGGGGTAAGTTTAGACTAGTGGGGAGAACGCGGTAAGATTGATTGGGATGAAAGTGGATTGAGATGTCTAGTTCCTATGCTTAGCATACCCTATGTTTCAATCAACCTTGGATATCTTGGAACATGCATACCTTGATTGCTTGAGAAAGATGTTCATTCATTTGTAGTGTAGTCTCTTTGTAAGTCTATTTCGCAAAGGGTTTGTTTTCCCTTTTCTTTTCTTTTCATGGTTTTGCATCTTGGACATTGAGGAAGAGTTATGGGTAAACTCTTAGGATACCCTTATGAGAGCATCACTCGTCTTCTAGGGCGATCTAGGGGTTTAAATGGCTTGTTGTAGCCAAAAATAACTGTGATTCCTACAATAGAGAGTCTTAGTGTATATTCTCATCTTGAGTCTTTCTTTTTCTTTTCGAATAAGTCTTTCATCCTAATTCTTTCTTGCTTTGTTTTGCTCGAGGTCGAGCAAAAGTTTAGCTTGGGGGAATTTGATGAGTTTCATTTATGGCACTCATTTGGCTTCTTTTATGATTATTTTCATGCTCTTTTATAGCTCTTTTCTTTAGTTTTCCTTAGTTTTGTTCTTTATTTATTTAGTTTTTGCTTTCCTTAGTTAGTTTTCTTTCTTTGTGCTTTTCTTTGTTTATTTGGTGTTTTTCCCTTTTATTTGCTTCTTTTCATGTATTTTCATGTTATGATCGTGTTCCAAGGATTCCTGAGCCTTCCTCTCATCATTTTGGATGCTTCTTGCTTGTCATTTAGAGCTCAAGTTTGAAGGAACGCAAGGAGTAAGTTTATGAGATCGGTGCATGCATGCGGTGGGGGCATCATCTTTGGCATGAACTCACCAAAAGGGCCATTTCAAGACTGCGTACGTTAGTGTTCATCATCACCACCAAGACGAGTGCACGAGGATGAGCTAGGACAAAGAAGAGGGAGCTCCCCTGCTGCCAGCGCACCAGGGTGGCGCGGGCGCGCCTGCCAGGGCCCCTGTTTCGTACCCATTTTCTCGCGGCCGCGCCTTTCCCTTGTTGCGACCGCATATTCCGAGGTTTCTTTTGGACGATTTAACTAACTTTTCTATTGTTAGTTTTACTATATATAGTTTTTCCTTCTATTTTAGAGAGAGTAGGATTACAATAGAATTAGAATTAGTTTTAGATCAAATTAGAGAAATATTTAGAGAGAAATTCTAGGTTTTAGTGAGAATTTCTTGGTGGATTGTTGATGATTGAAGATTTCTCCGTTTCCTTTGATATTTGATCAAGTTTGTAAGGATTCTTTTTCTTTAAATTCAATCTTTAGTTTGATTTTAATTTTTTTGTTGAATGTTCAAGTTTGATTGATTTTTGATTTGATTTTTGATTGTTTAATTTGATCATGATGAATTTGTTGTTTCTCTTTGTTTTGATCTTGATTTCTACGGATTGTGAGTAGTTTGATTTCTAGGGTAATGGTGAAGCATATATGAGTAATGGATTGATGTTAATTTGGGGAAATTGATGGAATTGATGATGTGATTAAATTGGTTAATTGATTATGTGCATGTGTGTGTTTGATTTAGGCTTGATCACCCTAGTTATTCACACTAGATTGCATTATATGTTCACATTGATACGGACCATTGATTTGTGGCTTGCATTTAACGATTAAGGTTTCTTGTGACGTTCCTAGCTAGAGTTTATCGTAGTTGACGCTAGTTAGACCTCTAGGAAAATAGCTTGATATGTTCATTTTGTTGCATAATTGGTTTTCCCTCGCATCACTCGACTTAGTCAACTCTTTCCCAATTAGCGGAATCCGTTACAAGTATATGTGGATCCCGAGCCCTAGTTTTTATTACATTTGTTCCAACCTAGCTTGTTTAGTTGTTTAGCATTCACACCCTTACCTAACCTTTCCGGAATAGCTTGACTTGACAATATAAGATCGCCCTCCATTCCTTAGTTGTTCGACCCTCTACTTACCATTATACTTGTATAAGGGTGTGTTGAGAAATTACAAATTTTGTTTGGCCTAGGGTAATGTTAGTTTCAACGACCTAGTACCTGAAATTTTAATATATATGTATGCTTTTTTTTAAAACAAAAGAAACTTGTTGTTATTGTAGACTTAATTAAACCTGCTGATTTTATTAAAAAATTAACTTTTTCATTAAAAAATAAAATGATGTGCTTATATATTAAAAGAACCTGCAGATTTCATTAAAAAAATTGATATGATATTTATTCCCTTTTTTTTGTGACAAAACCAGAGAAACTATTATTAAGTAGCAAGTGGGCAGAAATCTTCCATTACAAGTTCAACTATAGCATTGGGAAATCTTCCATCCAAACTCTAAGCCTAAAATATCATATTTATTCTCAAAAAGCTGATGTTTTCACAAATTCACATTAAACCTGCTTCCACCAACAAATTAACAAAATCATCAGAGTCTTCATCTTCATTTGTTTGATTCTATTTTGCCCTCGTTAAGTCATCCGAAGACATTTTCTGATCAAAGATTTAACAAGCATAACACGGAGAATTAACATGCAAATAAATTAACCTAAAAAAATTATCAATCTAAGAGTTAACAAGCAAATAAATTAACCCAAAAAAAATCGATCCAAGACTAACCTAGCGCGGCTGATGAAGGTCGCCTGAGAGTGTGAGAGGGTCTGTCTGACAGAAGGGAGGAAGGAGGTCGCGTGAGAGCTGAGAAGGAGTGTTTCAGTGTTTGACAGAGTGAAAGAAGAGAGAGAATAGGGGAGATTGAGTGTGGCAGTTTGCGGCTACTAAGCAAAAAAGAGGATAGAGTAGTAACCCTAATTCCCTAAAGGATTAAAGGGACTTCCCGCTAAAAAAAAATTTAAAAAAAAAAAAAAGAAAAAGAGAATATTTAACGGGTACCCGAAACAGTCAAAGGTCGACCCATTATCCGACCCGCAAAATAAGAAAAAAAAACTCAATAATACACGTCGGGTACTTTGCATGTCAGTGGGTCAGGTCAAACGGGTCGGGTATTTTTTAACACACCTAGTCTTCACAAACTTTAATTGGCATGATATTCCCAAGTTATTGCAATTGATATGATTAGTTGTTGATCCCCGTTCCTAGTGTTTTATTTCCTTGGTTACTTGTTTTGTTAGTTGTTAGTATTTTCTCTTTATCTTTGGCTTTGACTGAGTTTAGGCACAAAAATCGAAAGCATTTGAACATTATCGTTCCTTTAGGTTCGACCCTTTACTTGCCTCTATACTCATATTTAGGTTTGTTAAGTGTTTATAAATTTAGTTTGACCGAGATAAAGACCTAGATTTCCCCTCGTCAAAATGGCGCCGTTGCCGGGGAACGATATTTATGTTTGAGTGTTTTTTATTGCTTGAGTCTAGGTCTTTGTTTATACTTTTCTTTTATTTGATTTTTGTTTGTTTTGTATACAAATGGCATATCTCGTGTTTCCTCAATTTGACAATGAGCCATTTTGTGAATATTTTAATAGACTTGAGGGATTTTTAGACTATAATTGTTGTAGTTTTTAGGAGGCTTGTGAGATTTGTTATTTTGATTTAAATGAGCAAACTAGGAATGAAGTTGAATGCATGCATGATGGTGAATTTAGATCATTGTCAGTTGATGATGCTTGGGATTTTTGTGTTTGGTTTGCTAGGGATGTTTATAATAGGGTTAATCATGATTCTAATATTGATTTGCAATGTGTTGAATCTTTTAATGTTAGCATGATTTCCAATGATTTGTTACATGATCCCTTAAGTGAACCTAGAACACATGATTTCAACTCTATTTCCACTTTTGTTCATGATGATGAGGTGCATGCTCAAGTGGATGCTAATGGTGTGTTTCAATTTTATTCATTATTTACCATGCCTTCTTGTGATGTGCTTCGTTCCCTCAATGATGAATCTCATGTGTTTGATTGTGCCCCCACTCCCCAGTGTGATTGATATGCTCATGATTTTAATGTTGATCTTCCAATCTTGGTTATACTTCTTCTTCTCTTGTTGAGCCTTAACCTTCTACACCTTTTGAATCTCTTAATGCTACTTTTAAATCTCAAATTAGGTGCAGTGAGCTTGATAATGAGCTTAGGCCTAGTACGGAGATGATTCTTCAATTTATGTGAGGTCAATTATAGATAGAGAAAAAGAATGAGGAGCGTCTTGAGGAGGGAAGGAGAAGAAAATAAGAGTTAGAAAGCCAATTGTCATCCTTGATGCTTGTTTGTGAAAAATCCCAATTTAATGTGTGTGTTGAAGATAATGATGATGATTTTGAGCAACCAAGAGAGTGAGGATCCCATTTGTGAGCATTTAAGTGATGGTGAAGGAGTTGAGAATAAAGAGATTGTCTATTTTGATAACCTCAACCCTACTTCCCATCTTAATGAGTCTCTTATGCATGATTGTGATTCTTCTATCCATGAGTATTTTGACTCGATTGAGGTTATGACCAATGTGTTCTTTGAGTGTAAAATGAAAACCCATAGCCTTTTGAGTGAGTTCATTAAGAATGCTACAATGAGAAAGATGAGTTTGAAATGAATTTAAATCCATTCATGCATGGCTTTGAGACTTTAGGCTTTAAGGAAGTTGAGGGAGTTGTTTATGATTGTAGTGAAGGGGGTTATGTAGTTCCTCTTAGAAATTGGATGTTTAGGGAGATGATAATCATGAGTGTTCTTCTTTTGAGGATTCTATTATCGATTTTCATGCTCTTATTGGTGATTTGAGGCATGGTGGTGAGGAAAAGATCATTAGTGAGACAATAGCCTTTATACCCTCCTCTCATGTCACTTTTTGGAGAAATTTCAACCATATCCCCTACACTCCTATATCCCTCCCTTCCTTTGTTAATGAGTCTATTTGGGACACCCTTGTCTATGATGATTCATATGTGCCTCATTCGTCCCCTATTGAGGAAAAGGGTGATTTTGCCACCAAAAAAGATTTTTGTGAAGAGAGTTTGCCTTTCTATTCTTCTTATTCTCTTGAATTTTGTTTTGATTCTTCTTCTTGGCAACTTCCTCTTCACTTCCTTTTGCGTGCACTAATCTTGTTGCATGCACTTCTAATGTCATTTGCCTACTTGTTATCATATGAAATGTGTAGTAGTGCATTTGACAAACTCTTGCGTGCATTGAATTATTATTTTCTAGAGCGGTCAAACTTGGACCTTAAGCAAGCCTTTCTTGGGAAGTGACCCGTGTTTTATTTCTTTCATTATCTTTTCTTTTTAGAATAGATTTTCTCTCATGGAAATGTTTGTGTGTCTTTTATTAGGTACATGACTTGATATACTTTGGTGCATTGGTTTGAATCAAAAATCAAGGATGATTGACTCTATATTTGCTAGCATATGAAAAGCAAAATTCAACTCTAAAGGAAAGCGGTATTGAAAAGTTTAATTGGCTCATTTGCGGGTATTTACACCCACCAACATCCAGTGATATCTTTCCTTGCTCTTCCTCTAATGGTTGATAACTTGTTAGACATGTGTCGGTATTGTTTGTTTGATTTCTATGTTTTCCCTTCACGTGGAATATTTGATTTATGTGAGAGCATGTTGTCTCATTCAAGGGGGAGGGTATTCTATCATGTTTGGTGGGATGATAATTCATATATGCCATGCACATTTGTATATGCATTTCCATGATTCTTTTATCTTGAAAAACTCCAAAAAGATTTTTGTTTCTATCAAGGCAAATTTGCATTGAGTTTTGTTTTGTTCTTGCTTTGGGTATAATACTTTTGGACATGTATAGTTGAATGCTTTTCTTCTTAAATGGTAACGGTGTGCACGATTTGAGAGTATGCTTGGTTGATTCTGGGATAAAGCATGCTAAGGTAGTTGGTTAGAACTAGTGGGACCATGAAACCAGATTCTACTTGTTTGTGGCATGTTGGTAGTTGCATCCTATAGTCGAATTGACACCAATAGTGAGTTTTAAAACATCCATGTGAGGTTCATTATTTTTCAAGCCTTCAACACATATTTGCATGAGCGGCATGGATCCTTGACTATTGCGGACCTAATCTAGAATCTTGACTCATAATTCTCAAACACGAGACCGAGCAATCTAGAGAGGACAAAGGCATCTTTTCGGTGTGGTAACTTTTTTTTCTAAGATAGTTTTCTTATTTTTGGTTTTTAGGTTTACATTTTCCTACTTGCTAACCATTTGAGCATTTTCTCTTCTTTTCAAGCCATATCTTTAGAATTTTGAGCCTTTGTTTCATTTTTGTTCCATTTTTGGTTTTTGTGAAGCAAATGATCATTTTATTAGAGTATGTGGTATATGAGTTTGGATATT